ACTGTAAATCACAGGGCAACCTCTAAGAAAAATGATAAACCTTCACATCAAAATAAAAAAGAGGACCAGTGTAAATATTCAGCAAATACTAAAACAATAGCAATGAAGGAAGTGATAACATGATTCATAAACAAAATGAGCTCAGCATAGAAAATTATATGGAACAAAGAAATTGACACAATGAAAAAAGGACATGACAAAAATGACAGCAACAAATTAATATTTGCTGTTAATTACATATCTGGCAAGGGATGTATCTCTAAGATTGATGGAAAACTCCAATGCTTCAACACCAAAGGAATTAACAATCCAATTGAAAAATGGGCAGAAGACATGAATAGACACTTCACCAAGGAGGATATTCAGGTGGTCAGCTAACACATGAAAAGATGCTCACAATCATTGGCCATCAGAGAGATACAAATCAAAACAACAATGAGATATATTGTCTCACCCCAGCACTGATGGCAAGGTTTAATGAGACAGAAACTAACAAATGCTGGTGGGGATGTGGAGAGATTGGGACTTTCATACACTGCTTGTGTGACTGTGAAGTGACACAATCACAATATGGCTATTCCTTAGAAAGTTGGAATTGGAGGTATCATTTGACCCAGCAATCACATTACTAGGTATATATCCTAGAGAGGTGAGAGCCAGGACAGGAACAGATAAATGCATGCTCATGTTCATCACAGCACTATTTACAATAGCAAAAAGATGGAAACAACCTGTGCCCATCAGCAGAAGAGTGGATGACCAAACTATGGTACATACACATACTGGAATGCTATGCAGCACTAAAGAATAATGTAGAGTCTGCAAAACACTGCATAATATGGATGAATTTGGAAGACATTATGTGGAATGAAATAAGTCAATCACAGAAGGACAAATATAGTATTAGCTCATTGTTGTGGAGCGTCAAGGAAAGGTTTATATATGGAGGGAAACTTTCTTTGTTGGTTGCCAGGGGTGGGAGGGGAGGGAAGGGAACCTGGGAAAAAAATAAATAAATAAAAATACATTGACCCATGTCATTTTAGTTTTGTATATTTCACTGTACATAAATTATATTTCAATAAAATGCATTTTAAATAAATAAATCAGTCAGTGAAAACCCTATCATGTTAATTCTACTCTAACATAGATGCTGATTCAACAGCAACTGATACTGGTATAAGGAATCCTGAAAGCTTTATGCCATCCATGTCTGTACTAAGCAAAGGTGCTGAAAAAGAATGGCTATGTCCACCAAGTGTAGATTTACTCTTCCCATCTCTGTTTCCAAAATGGAAGATTCCTAATTTCAATTCCCACATAAAGTGTTCAACCAATTACTGTGAGCTGACCAATGTCATCACTGTGAAGCTGGTTGGTATCCCTGTGACTGTATTATTATGTTATAATAAACATACATCATGTTCATTGAGCTGATCTTCTCACATCTTGTTACCAGGTAAAAACCATGTGATTCTTGTTTAACTATCCTGTGTATGATCTAGTCCATTTCTCACTTAGAAAGAGCAAGGCCGTCTCTTTGCAAAGCAGCAGGATGTGTGACAAGCAGAAAGGTCTTCCACTAAAATAACGCACATTCTGTGAGTGCTGGGCTAGTGGTGTGTTTGTTTAACCCTTCACTTTGTTCCAAGATTGTCTGTGGGGCTTGGGCCATTGTATACAACGCAATACACTGCTTAGCCTTCCTTCTGAGGAGTGGCTGGTGGGTTTGAACTGCCAGCCTTCTGGTTAGCAGTCAAATGCCTTAGGCACTATGCCACGAGGGCTCCCAAAACCCACTGCCATTGAGTCAGATCCGACTCACAGTGACCCCTCCTTGGGTTTCTGAGGCGGTATCATTACAGAAGTAGATTGCCCAATCTTCCTTCCAAGGAGTGGCTGGTGGGTTTGGACTCCAAGCCTTCTGGTTAACAGTCAAATGCCTTAAGCACTATGCCACCAGAGCTCCTTGTGGGCTATTATTGTATGGTGGGTGACAAGTAGGGATTATACATGTGCTTGCTACATGACACTTCTTACCTGCATGACAACATGTCCACTGTAGGTACCAACACGCCCACAGATAAAGAGGGCTTGCCTGCCCGACATCACATGGATAATGTGCAGCAGAGGGAATGAGAAAACATTTGCATACCCTGTGGAATTTCATTAATTCCATGTATGAAATGTCTGCTGTGCTGTGGTTCATCATGATTTTTGGATATTTTTAAAAATCTTGCCTTTTTTTTTTTTGGACTAACTAGGTTTTAAGAAGTAAGCA